CCTTCCTCCATGGCTATGCATGAAACGCAAGTATTCAATCATGTCTATGATAATATCTGGGCCAAAGCAACCGGGAAATGACATAGATATATATCTAGCTCCATTAATTGAAGACTTGAAAGTATTGTGGGAGAATGGAGTTGATGTATATGATGCATATAAGGAAGAAAAATTCAAGTTGAGAGCTATGTTATTTGGCACAATTAACGACTTCCCTGCGTATGGTAATCTCTCAGGGTATAGCATTAAAGGACAACTTGGTTGTCCCATTTGTGAAGAGAGCACAGATTCCATAAGGTTGAAGCATGGAATGAAAAATTCATATATGGGACATCGTAGATGGTTGCATCGTGATCATCCTTACCGACGATTCAAAAAATATTTTAATGGGAATTCAGAAGAAGGTAAGGCACCAACACCGTTGATTGGGGAGGATGTATTTCAAAAGGTGAAAGATATAGATTGTGAATTTGGAAAACCTTTCGCGAAGCATGTTGGGACAAGTGGGTGGAAGAAGAGGTCTATTTTCTTTATACTGCCGTATTGGATAACCCTGAATGTGAGACATTTTCTTGATGCTATGCATATTGAGAAAAACGTATGTGGAAGTCTGTTTGGCACATTACTCCATATTCCCGGGAAGACTAAAGATGGCATAAATGCCAGGCTAGACATGGTTGAAATGGGGATAAGGGAGGAATTGGCACCAGAGGATAAGGGAACTCGTACATTTCTTCGTCCGGCAGCTCACACCCTTTCTAGAAAAGAGAAAAGTAGTTTTTGTGAGTTTCTTGCTTCAGTAAAAGTGCCGGAAGGTTACTCTTCTAACATTAGTAACCTTGTGTCAATGAAGGATATGAAGTTAAAAGGTTTAAAATCTCATGACTGTCATGTCTTAATGGAAAACTTTATTCCAGTGGCAATACGGGCTATTTTACCTGATAAGGTACGAGTTACGATCACAAAGTTATGTTTCTTCTTTAAGTCTCTTTGCAGCAAAGTGATTAATCCTAGTAAATTGCCAAGATTGCAAACCCGAATCATAGTTACGTTATGTGAACTTGAAATGTATTTTCCTCCGGCTTTTTTTGACATCATGGTCCATTTAACCATCCACTTAGTTAGAGAGGTCCAATTGTGTGGCCCAGTGTATTTAAGATGGATGTACCCAGTTGAGCGTTACATGAAAATATTGAAAGGGTATGTGAAAAATCGAAGTCGGCCAGAGGGTTGTATTGTAGAACGATATATTTGTGAAGAGGCTACTGAATTTTGTACCCATTACTTAAAAAATGCAAGTGATATTGGGGTTCCAATGTCTCGTCATGAGGAAAGGACAGATGGAGAAGGGATTATGGGAAAGAAAGTCGTAACTATTTCAAACCAACAGTGGGAGCAGGCACATCTATATGTATTGCACAACTCCGAAGAGATTGAGGACTATGTGCATGAGCATATTAATGAGCTAAAGAGGGATAATCCCAATAAACTTGAAAGTTGGTACACCAAAACACACAATAAACAATTTACAGCATGGTTGAGAGAGCATGTGCATGGCAAGTATAATAATGATCCTAATTCTGTTTCGAAGAAATTAAAGTTGTTGGCAGATGGACCAAGCAAACATGTGATTTCTTTCACAAGCTACCTTATGAATGGGTTCATTTTCTATACTAAACAACAAGATGATCGGAGTAAACAGCAAAATAGTGGCGTAACTCTTGTAGCTAGTACCATGCATATATCGAGTGCCAAAGATAAAAATCCTATCTATGCACGTATGTCATACTTTGGAGTGATTGAGGATATTTGGGAGTTGGATTACATTGAATTCAGAGTTCCGGTATTTGGTTGCAAATGGGTGGATAATAATAATGCATTGAGGATTGATGACTTAGGGTTTATACAATTGAATTTGAATAAAGAAGGATACAAGGAAGAGCCATTCATTTTGGCTTCTCAGGCTACGCAAGTGTTTTATGTCCCTGACCTGGCTGCCAAAGGATGGTCTATTGTTTTGTTGACTAATAAAATGGATATTGAAGAGACGGGGTATGAAGACAATGCAATTGAAGATGATCCATTTCAAGGGGCCTCACTTGATTCTCATTTAAATGAAGATCAATCCATGTATGTCAGGCATGATCACAATGACGGAATATGGATTTCAAAGAGGGGGAAAGTGTTTCGTAAGAAGATCAAAACAATTCAAACCAAGAAGAACATGCAAAAACATAAGAGTAGAAAAAGAAAAAGATCTTCTTAAACATGCATGTAAATTCTCTCATTATTTTCTTTGATTCTTTTATTTGTTTTAATTTTGTTCAAATAAATTTCGTCATTAATGACTTTATTTTCATTTAATGGATTCTGATTCATTTTGTTTACTTCAATTTCATTGCAGATGGCAGACGATAGCGGATCTAGCACTGATAACCCATCTCAGCCGAGAGATGCCTCTGAGCAGGAGAGACAGTTGCAAGAGGAGGCAGCACGCATACAGAGGGGCCTTTGTGTCATGCAAGAGGTCGTGAAAGCTCGAACAGAAGGAAAGAAATTTGCCGTACAGTGGAATAAGAAAGGACAAGCTGTACGGTCAAATAAATTTATCAGCTATATTGGGGCAGTGGCACGAAGCACCGTGCCCATTACAGCGCAGCATTGGAGGAGGGTTGATCGTTCAGTGCGAGACACTATTTGGACAGATGTATCGATAATATATTATAACTCAAATTTCATTTTCTTACAAGCTGCGTGACACTAATGTGTTGTTTTATATGTTTTGCAGTCTGCATTTGATATAGATGAGAGCAGGAAGAGGTTTGTGGAGGGGAAGGCTGGGAGGGCACTACGCTCTTTCCGATATTTTGTCACACACAAGTACTTGAAGGATCCTTCCACAGCCGACGAGTCCCAGGTTCCTAGCTTGATACGGGACTTGGTCAAACCAGAGGATTGGGCTGCTTTTGTGACGTCACGTCGTGATAGGCAATTTCAAGTAATAATCCTCGCTCTTTTTGATATTAAATAGTCCATTTTGTTTAATCTATATATTGTTTAATTGTGAATCTACTTTGTTTTTGCAGGAATTAAGTTCCCAAAATAAGGAAAGAGTAAAGAAGAATGAGTATCCCTACCGAAAGGGCCGCTTGGGTTATGCGGGCCTTGAGCAAGAGGTGACTCAGCAGGAGGGATCAGATGTCACTGTATCACGTCAGATGCTGTGGGCACTGGCCAGGCAAAATAAAGATGGCCAAATTGATAATCCTCGCGTTAAGGAGGTCGTGGACAGGATGGTGAGTATTATTCTAAATTAAATAATCTTCACGTTATTGTCAAATATCTTTAAGTATGAATAACTATATCAATGTTTGTTGCACAGGAGAGTTTGTCCCAGGAAGTTTCGCAGGGGGCATATTCTGCAGATGACCAGGATATATTGAGGAGGGCATTGGGGACTCCTGACCATCCTGGTCTTCTTAGGGGTGTCGGTTATGGAGTCACCAAGAGAGATTACTTTGGGTACCGACAAAAGCCCTCTTCATCGTGCACGCCTTCCTCTGCTGAGTTCATGGAGCTGAAGGAAGAAACACGCTGGTTAAAGGAGCAGGTTAAAGTGCAAGCGCTCCTAATCGAGCAGTTGATCAAGAATCAAGCACCACAGCCGGCTCCGAATCTCAGCCCAAGTGGCAAAGACAGCTGCACATTCCCCTTGCTACCTGAGGTATAATACTTGTGTTTATATAATTACATTCAATAATTTATATATCTAGCTAACTTGTCTCTTATGTTAAACAAATCAGGGTGAAGCGGACGTTCAGTGTATGGCGGATAGCCCTAAACATCACACTGTTGCAACGGGCCGCATGTTCAATTTACCAGGGGAGAGTATAATTCATAATGTTCCTCTCCCTGCTGATCATGTGAGGGTGCAGTTGAACACTGCTATTGATGCGAATTATGCCCTCCCGATTCCCACCCCAGATGCAGAGACAGTGGCTCAAGCAGTGGGTAGCTTTGTCGCTTGGCCTGGCCGTCTTCTTACATTAGGACATCCTTCAAAGGTATATATGTATAGGTCTACAAATTCAGCTGATTTAAAATAAACTCTATTTTAATTACTAACAGTCTGTTTGTCAGTCTAAGGGGAAGAAGAGCCTATTGGGTGATCACTCATTATCATCACCACAGAAGCAGCCCTCTGAGCCCGTTCAAGTGGTATCATCAAGATTCCGAATATGTCTTGAGGAATATGCAATTGGGGCCAGATTAGAACATGGCGAGGATTTCATGATTCCCCTAGAGTTTGAGCCAGAGGTATACGGTCGACCCTCGTCAGATTATGTCACAAATGAAGTATTGAAAGAGATTCTGACGCATGGAATGGCTAGCACAAATGCCTGTAACTTTTATATCAGGTATTTGTTAAAACCTTAACTAAATACTTAAGTACTTGAACATTTATTCTATTGATATCTTCGTTTGTTGATTTAGATATCTTTTCAAGAACTTCATAGCCCCTGGTGGCCTTGATGACAAGTTCAAGATTATCAGCCCCCACACTTTTGCTGGCCACGGACCTAATATGAAGAAAGACTTATCCAGAGACTTGTTAGATATCTTCATTTCTAGGGCAACACCGGGGGCTCAGACTTTGTTTTTGGCGCCTTATTGTCAAGGGTAAACTTTCCTAAATTCTTTCATTTTCAAAATAATTTGTAATAGTTCTAATTGTCTTTCTTATACTTAGGGGACACTGGATGCTGATTGTGGTCAATCCCACAAAGCCGAGGATTTGGTATCTTGATTCTCTTCATGGGGATCCAACCAATCGACCATTTATGGTTTCATTGTTCAACAAGTAATATTTATCTCTATTATTTAAATTTAATTTAATTTCTTGCTTCAATCAAATTTTTGACAATCATTAATATTCAATTTTATTGTCTTCTCAGGGCTTTGTGGCTATACCGCACAAATCAGGCCTTACCCTGCCCCCCGGTAAAAAACGGCCAATTTGACGATACCTTCCCGTGGAAGAAAGTGAAGGTATTCACTACCATGATTTACTATTCTACTAAATATGGTTTATTTATATGATTGACTAATATTATTTCCTTTTCCATTCTTTACAGTGCCCACGTCAGCCCAACAAGAGCTCCCATTGTGGATATTGCGTGATGAAATTTATGAAGGAGATAATTCTGCACAATGCTGACTCAATTCCCACGCAGGTAATATGCATTTGTTAAGGTTCAATTTATATATTTAAGAATTATTGTACTTACTGTAGCTTTACATTTCTATCTAACTTAAGTCATAATTTGTGGTTGCATACAGTACTTTGCCGACACATATTGCACAGTATATTCATCTGCTCAGATAGAAGAAATCGTTGAGGAGTTGGCGATGGCCTTATTCCGTCAGTGGGCACAACATAGATAGGGAAGTGTACATTAAGACAGCGTATGTACGTACAGCTAGCTTTGGTTTCAATATAATTTTGGTTTTGGTTCATTTTTGGCTGTTCGTTAGTTTTAGGCATTGCACAACTTTGGCAATTGGCTAATTTTGGAATTGGTTCACCTTTTTGTACTTGCCAGAATTTTAATATATCACAGTTGGTTTTCATTGGTTCATGTATATATATGATAATGTAAATTATTTTCGGTTCATTAACATATATGTATATGGCTGAATTGGTTTGAATGCTGGCCTGCATGATTCTGTTGAATGAGCCTTTGTTATCGGTTTCAAAATTGCAGGGGGTTGCTGGCAAAGGAGAACGAATTTTTTAAAAAAAAAAACGAATAATACTTGACGGTTATTAGTTAAAACCGTCAAGTATTATAACATACTTGACGGTTACTTTTAAAACCGTCAAGTATTAAATAATACTTGACGGTTTTTCAAAAATAACCGTCAAGTATGTTTATAATACTTGACGGTCACTCTATGGAACCGTCAAGTATTACTGAATACTTGACTGTTTTTGGAACCGTCAAGTATAATCTCAAAATAATTGGCGGTTTTTCTCTAGTAACCGTCAAGTATGATTTAAATATTTGACGGTTAACAACCGTCAAATATTTGCTGTTGAAATATATGACGCCAGTATAGTTGACGGTTTTTAACCGTCAAATATGATCCAAAATAACCGTCGAGTATTTTTCATTTTGTAGTAGTGTTGATAAGAAAATCTTTGGTGAACACAAAATTTTATTTCCTTGTAACAATATTTTATTGTCATTTTATCTTGATTAACTTTTGTCTTAAAGATATATTATTGACTTGCAATATAGTTTTCGTAGACCAAGAAACATTATAGGAGCAGGTATAATAACAAAAGCAATGAAGGCTATAATATTCTAATTCCACGAGACAATATTATGGCTTTTGATTCAGCAAAATTATGCCTTCTGATTCATCTTTGTTTTTTCTAGTATATACAAACGGTAGTTCTCAACAATACTTTCTTTTGCATTCATTATAAATAAAAGTCAAGAGTTTAATGACATGACGAATTCTATAAAATTAAATCTGATCCATAATATATTTATTTCAGGATTTTTAAATTTAAGTCATAATTGGTTTCCAAAAAAATTTTAAAAAAAAACTAGGCAAAATTTAGACGTTACTATTAAAAATAAAAAAAATTCATTAAGCTTGAAAAAAACATACCTTTTAAAGAGTTGTCTTTAGTTTTTTTTTTAAAAACACTAGAATATATGTTATATATAAAAGCATACCTTAAAAATATATCATTTGATTTGTTAATAATCATTTGTAACTTACATAATCAAAGTGTATTTCCATAATTGTAAATCGCACATAGCCATACAACTTTACCAGGACAATCCAATATACTTTATGAATAATAAAGGTTATAATATTCTGATTTTATAAGTTATGGTTATGTCTTTTAATTTAAAAGCCAATTTTTAATCATGTCTTTTTTCATTCATAGACATTGCATGACGCAATTTTATGTATGAAAAAAAAAGAAACATTTCAAAATACTGATTTTAAATGATGAAGGACACCCTACTAACAAAACCTCTAGTATTGTTTACCAAGAGATTTTTGTAATCCCATGTCTTAAGCAAATATGTGAGATTTAGATGTCATTTCATCCTGATTCAGTCTTATATGTTAGATGAAAGACTACCTATACTCTTGTGCATTATGGGTTCTAATCTTATGTCTATATTATAGCATTATCTAATTCTCTATACTATGAAAAACACACCTTTGCACCCACATATAGCACGGGGTCTAAACTAGTATATACCTAATAACATACAAAATCTCTAATGCCAATAAACATTTAACGTAATAGAAAAATCCATTGTATTTCTGCATTATGCATATGGCACTATAAAAGCTATGTAACCTACTTACTCACAAAGTATTTAAATAACAATGTGCACGGGTTTTAATCTCAGCTTTCTTAAATGCAATCAAATAATGTTACCTTGACAATGAAACTTGTAGGAGTGCCTAGTAAAATCCAAACTTTTAATATGTGGCTATGTATCAGAAAAATCTGCAAAATAAGATATTACTGTGATGGATGCTAATGAATTGGCTAAAGCACTAACATGTAAAGAACCATTTTATGAAAGGTCTATTGAAAAATCTTACATCCAATAGACAATATCTTAATAATATTCTCCGATGGAATAATATGTTAGGTGGTTTTCTTCACATGCCTTTTTATCCTCATCCTAAGTAATGAACAAATGACTCCTTAAATATAATGTCAGAAATGGGCTTTACCCCATAAGGCCCATTCACAACTAGCCATAGTTTTATCTAAGATGCTTGCCATTATTTTCGTAATTAGTTTTTGTCTCTGAGTTATCTTAGGGATTTTACTAAATCATAAATGTTAGTTTATTTTATCTTTTATTAAGAGAGGATTATCTTAGGATATTGTAAGTTTATCCTCTATAAGTGTCAAATGTTTTAGTGAATAAAATGTAGAGTTTTGCATTGCATAAATTACATGGTACTAGACCCATGACACCACATATATTGTATAAGTGATCGATTTGAACTGTCGCTTTCTGGATCGTCAAGAAAGAGAGTTTTACCAGATAAAATGCAGTATAGGATGCAACCAATCGTTCTTCTCGAGGAGCTTGTTATTGGAAATCCTAGCCTAAATTGGGTTTCAAAAACATTGTAAAAAGGGGCTTTTAGTTGTTTTAAAAGTGGTGCAACAAATGCAAAGTGCAGAAAATTAACTATTTTTGGTATTTTGAATGAATGAAGAAATGTTTTGAATTAAAAGGGAATTATGGTTAAACAGTCTCTTGATGATGAAAGCTCAGCTATCACTGCTCTTTAGAATGATTGGGAGTTTGAAAAACCTCTAAGTCTGAAGAAAACCCCAAGTAATCACTTGGGTCCAATGTCTTGATTAATGAAAACTCACTTTAATCAAAGTTAATTAACACCTCTTAAGACATTGCTGAAAACCACTTAGAGTGTAAATGAATGAATGATGCAAATTCCCTCTGAATGTCAATCGACAGCCACAGAATACCAAGCACATAGATTAATCAACAATTATCACTGATAATCGAACTGAACACAAGGATTCAAACTAAAATATTAAATAGATTGATCAACATTAACATCATCCAATCCAAATACAATAGAATAGTCTAAACATAAGATTTACAATCATAAACCAAGTTTGATACAAGTGCAGAAAGTTGCTAAATCTAGAAAAATTCAACACAGCATTAAACAATGGTTTAGACTATAGAAAGAAAACTCCCCGATTAAGTCTTTGAGCTCAAGCTTTGTCTTCCATCACCAAGAGGCTAAGGGTTTAGCCTCTCATGCCTTCAACCCAATCTCAATCACTCTAGGAATGAATAGCTATGGTTAAAGCTAAAAATAAGGTTGGAAAAATAGAGAAGAAGGGTGTTGGAGTGGTTTGATCAGTTTAAAAATGCAGAAAATGATGAAGACATGAATAAAAATGGAAGTTTTGGGTATAGGATCAATAGAGACTTGAGAGGAGATGATCGTGGCTCAACCTTGTGCAAATTTGCAGAATGGAAGAGTCCTTTTTCGTGGTGGCTGCCCTTCTTAGGTATAGAAGCTCAGAAACCTATTCCAAAACGCATAGCTTCACTTAACACACTCAGGTTGCAACCTCAGGAATGTAAGGTCGCGACTCACGGGGGGTCAAGTTGCGACCTGAGAGGTTCCATGTCGTGACTTGGAAAGATAGAGAGCTCTCATCTTGACTCAGGTCCAAAACGCGTAGTTTCATTAAAAGGGCATCCAAGTCGCGACCTAAGTAGTCCATGTCGCGACCTGGATGCCCTTTTAATGAAACTACGCGTTTTGGACCTGAGTCAAGATGAGAGCTCTCTATGTAGTCCATGTCGTGACTTGGGGAGGCAGAACACTCCCAACTTTTGTGTTTTGGTCCTTGTAATATTTTGGCCCCATCCATGCTCTATCATGACTCTTGGGTCCCTCTTCAATTGCCTGAAAATCACAACAAAGAGCTTTATAAAGACCAACTGATTACAAATCAAGGCAATTAAAATTTAGAAGAGAAAAATGACCCTTTTTACCCCTTAAAGAGCAAAATGCAATGCATGACTCAATGTAATCAAGTGGATATAAGTGCATGCATAATGAGGGTAAAATTATTGCAAAACATTAGAAAACACTTGAGAAAACCATATAAAGATTAGGTTCTATCAATAAGTCAGCACTAACCAATTCATCCAAAGTCTTCATTGGTGGTGGTGAGATTACCAAGTCTTCAATGGCACTTGGAGAAGATTGTTCAGGTCCCTACGCATACTTGTGCCAGGGGGCTTCTAGGAAGAACATCTCACCAAGATGTTGGAAGAAAGACATAAAGGAGAAAAATGGGTGAGATCCTTTGGAGTCATGCAACTAGTACACTACAACACCTTGTTGGTGGAGATATAACTTCTAACTCACTCTCCCAAGTCATTATCACCTATCGGCTTGATGGGAATAATTACCTCGAATAGTCCATAAATATGTTGATGTTTGTTCACAAGTGAAAAATGGAGAAGTATCTAACTTGTAATCTAAAACCTTTATCAATTAAAGATCCCTAATCTAAATCATAGTGTGCAAAAAATAATACTGTGATAACATAGTCAATCAAACATATGCTTTGCAACCTCATTGAAGGAGAGAAGTTTGTTACATGGTATTGTAATGCTTTCATGAGTCTTTGGTTACAAATTAAATGTACGAGATATATCAATGGTCTTGCTACATTGATGAAATGTACTTTAAATAGATCATTGTATAAGAATGATACTATAAATTTTTTGTTGGACTTAATGATGTTTTTGAAGACATTATTTGATGGA